GCACCATGTACTCCATACTGTTCGCGCTCAAAAGTGGAACCCTCTCTCAATATGGATCTCCCCGAGGTTTCTGATTTTTCTCCCACTGGGCTTTAGAGTTTTTCCTTGCCGATGCAGGAGGGTCTGTTAGACAGTTTGTGTCTAACAAGAAGGACTGTGGTTATGATCCAGAACACTAACATTTATCAACATTCATGGACATTGGGCAACTCCCTCTGGAACAATACCTGTGTTCTATATTTTTAACTGCTTGATTCTCTGACTTGTGTTGGCGATTTTAACTGTTTCGTTAAGTCCTCTGAGATAACTATTGTTTATGCTTTTGGTCTATACAAGAATAAATCATATTGAATAGATCAAACTTTATGACTACATTTTGTGTATTTGAAAAGCAAATCTATAATAATCATAATTATGTAATAGACACAGAACAATGAAATGGATTAAATATTTTGTAAAAGAATAAACACATTAATCCTGACACAATAATAATGTATACCAAGAACAATTCAATGGAAAGAGTTCACAAATGAAACCTTGCCCCAGTGTCTCAGGCTCAGACAAGCTCCACACCATTGATCCATGTTTTTTCACTGAGCGTCTCTTTGCCACCATCATTGATCCCTTCAAATAAAGATTGGATTCTCCATAAGTGCATACAGCCCACTGCTCAATGTGCTCCAGGACTGCAGGGTGCAAAATGCCTGTTGATCGGCCACTTACCCATCAGCACCAATGCCTCCCACCAAGATCAAATCATATTTAAATAATTAGTGTAATAAAAAAGGAGAGCCGTATATTTAGAGACGCATGACGGCTTTGAATCGAGAGCATCTACCCCCTGCTTCAGAGCAATTTCAGCCCAATTTTGTAAGATAGGTGAATCCAAAACACTGCTATGCTTTTAGTGAATGAATATTGGTTCTCAGCATCATTCTGTAAACAGTTACTTATAGAAACAACAATATTCTGCTTTTAAACCTTTAGTTTAACCATTATTGTCAGAATTTAACTGCAACGTCCACAGCCAAACCAAATTATACAGTATATTGCATCTTCCTTTATATACAGTACTTACTATAGCCTTATTCCTTCTGTTCTTATAATGTTCAATGCAACACTGAAATGTCTCCACTGTGGGGCAATAAAAGCTTCTTATCCTTCCTTACCTATGTAGATTTATGTGATATCGTGGAACATTATAGACAAAGCCACATCCTGCAAAAAAGCTATATTTCAAAAAGTTTATTATAATAGGTTCTTCCATTTAGAGTAGTTATTCTCACAACCTTGTAATGACCAACATAATTTATCATGTCATCGCATCGCCTAAATGAAACCAAAATAATGATGAACCTTGAACCAGCCCACATTTAGCAGTGGATCAAATGAAAGTGCTACAGATGCATAAGACTCTGCCCATAATAGGAAAAAGCTCCAATAATTCATTATAGCATCAGTTTTGAGTCAACAGAAATGCTCACTTATCGCTCTTTGCACCTCTGTGTCTGTGTCGACGCTGTATCCTGATGGGGAGTGAGGTTCGGCAAATTATAGTAAAAAAATAGCCATCAATTAAACAGTGTTTTCTCTGCAGTCTGCATAAACCAATATCAATTCCTGCCGGGCTGTCTCCTGTTTCTGTGGCTAACATTTGTCTCGGTGTCAGTCGATATGTCTCAAAAAATTGGTCGCTGTGGGGGAAGCTGTGTTGTTTTGTCATTTCCTACATTATGAGCTGGGCATGTTTGTCCTGGGGAGTGATGTATGATGACTATGTACATAAGCAGAGGACGTCGTTGTGGTTTTCTCATCCACTCCATCAGGTGGTTCCCAGGCTCCTGTGGAGGTTTTTGCCCTGTGGTGTGTCTTTTTCCACCAAAACACCACCACCCTCCTCGTCAGCAAACAGGGCCAGCGCTTTGCCTCTGCCTCCTGCTGATGCTGTGTCTGCGAGACGCTGCCTCTCCTGCGGACCGACCCAGACAAGGACGATCTAGAAGTCTACAAGTTAATCAAGTGGACTGTGGCGAAGGGGACAAGTCTTATTTGGCTTAAAATACAGTATGTGAAGAGCTGCTCAATTGGGAAAGGCCTGGAAGAAGGCAAAAACACAACCTTCCAGACACATCATTGTAATCAGAGGCCTGTCTTGCGTGATGATGTCACATTGTTGATCATAATCATAGCTGGAACAGAGGCAGCAACCACAAAGATGTGTTTCTAGGATAGGAATTACTATATAGTTCAAGTGAAATCTGAAAGTTTCATCTTGAAAATGGTTCAAAAAATGGTCTTGAAAATGGTTCTTGAAATTTTGAAAATGGTTCAAGATTAAGATGAAGAGATCCTTTATTCGTCCCACAGTGGGGAGATCACCAGTTTCAGAGCAGTAGGAATGAGGAGCCCACTGTAATAACTCTTGAGTAATAGTTCACATAACTTTAGTATAGACTAAAGTGAACAATCTTTTGTAAAATAAAAATCTCAAAAGCAAGTCTAAAACCTCAAGCTTTAGCAAAATCTCTAGCTTTAGCTTACTGAACATTGTAAAAGCGCTTTGGGTGACCTTGGTCTGTAAAATACGCTATATAAATAAACATTACTTACTTACTTAGCATAATAAAGAAGCAAGTATAAAATCTCTAGCTTTAGCATAAAGAAGCATGTCTAAAATCTCAAACGTTGGCATAAATGGGACAAGACAAAGGCAATTCCCACAAGACAAGACATGACACAAACATGAGATCCCGACCCCTGGCACACAACATGTGACTACAAAGCAGTGTGACCACAGCTTTACCAAGCAATGAAATGCTACACAGAGTCTCGATGCAGCGCTGTTGGTAAAAGGGTAGTGATGCTCCTGACACTTTTCGTTTAGGGTCTTGACCACAGCCATCTGCCGCACTTATCGCTGTTTAGTTGATTAATTACTGCGGAAACATGCGGTCTTGCGATACAGCTTTAAAGCAGTACAGCCACCACAGACGGCAGTACCAGAAAACTCCTCCAAGATTGTAGTTCCATACTGTACATTTTTACATTTGTATTTAATTAAAGCTACACATTTCTGTCGCAATTTGTTGTTCTGATGATTTCTCAAGTGATGAAGTATAACAGAGTCCAAGCCACACAAAAAGAAATTAAAGTCAAGATAAAAACAAATTCAACAAGATAATTTTGGCTTTATCCTGACCCCTATCAGTTATGCATATTCACAAGAAGCAGAGGGCTGTCTAAATTCACTTTTGGGCAGAGGGCGACCCCTCCAAACAGAGCTTTATGTGATACAGACTTAAAACAGCTGAGGGCTTCCCAAACTCAGTGTGACCGTAGGCTGGGAGAGTGCATTCCCCAGGACACTGCCCCTCCATCCCGGCTGTGTAGAGTGCTGTGAGGAGTGCTGTACCATGGTGCGCAGTGATATGGACCAACGATGAATGAAAGTAGTTCATGGCACGATCAACTCTTGTTCAGAATCCCCTTCAGCCACAGAATCACATTGATGAGACATTCACAAGCACACGGTCATACAGAGGTGTCATTGAGCGCACACTTTTTATTGCTTAATTTGATTTCATGGCCTTTAGAATAGTAAGTAAGTAAGTAAGTAAGTAAGTTTTTATTTATATACCGCCTTTTCAATGCAGATCTGAGTCTCAAAGCGGTTTACAATTGTTAATGTTGGGCATTTGTCTCTCACTCCACACAGAGATGGGAGCGGGGTCACAAGTACAGGAGGCACATGCCAGAACTATTGGACATATTTTTTTAGTGGTAGGGGAAACCGGAGTACCCGGAGGAAACCTACGCAGACACGGGGAGAACATGCAAACTCCACTCAGAAAGGCCCTGGTCCGACCGGGATTCGAACCCAGGACCTTCTTGCTGAGAGGCGAGAGTGCTATCCACTCAGCCACCGTGCCGCAATACGCAATATGCAATATGCAATACAAGCACAGGCCTTTATAATATTACTGAATATGTCTCTTAACATTTCAATAATATTGCATTTAATTTTATATAGGCATTTAATTTATAGGTGTCCCATTTCCAAAGGTTGAAACATAGCCCTTTGTCTTAGCCTTGTTTATAGACGGTATATAAGGGAGAATGGAGTACCACATGTGTTGACAATCTTACGTCAATTTAGTGACATTCAGTGTGACATTTTGTCCCATCCTAATTTAGTAGAAAAAAAAGGTTTGTTAAGTGCCAATTTAATACGTGGATAAATTCATAATTCTATTTCACTAATTTTAAGCAAAAGATGCATTGATGCCAAATCTACACTTACCCACACAGAGTTTGTTGCTCCTGGCATTGACTGTAGGATTGGGCCCAATGCGCGTCGCACCAGAGTAATCTCGTGATGGACCACTGGCTCTCACAGCTTCGTCTGTTGCCATAGAGAGACGGATATATACAGGAAAAAGATCATCTGGAGGTCACAAATTAAATGTGTGGTCATAAGTAGTATAATATATTTAAGTGAAAACAAGTATAAGACAAGAATGGGTTCGTATACAAAGAAATTGGTCGTTATTTTTACGCATAGCATTTACGAATTCAGCTTAAAAAGGATTGGCAGACATTCATCAACATAAACACACAGCATATATTTTATTTTGAAAACCACACCCGGAAGTGGACCCGCGCAGCTTGCGTGGCTTGACCGCGTCGCTTTTCTCATGGTTGTTACACTGAGAAGAGAGTGAGAGGAAAAAGGGGGCAAATGTGCGCTGTGGTGGAGACGCACGGAGAGCACATTAACGTGTCCAGACCGTCCAGACAGAGCAGCGTCCCGGGGCTGAAGTGTCGAGTCTCTCTGCCCTCTCACCGTGAGCCTGTCTCGGGGTGAAGTCTCCAGCATCATCCGCCACCTACCTCAGCACACTTTCCACGGAGCCCGGGTTTATTCTTAGCTCAGCGGCGCGCGAGATTGTCCTTCCGGTCCTTCTCTTGTTTATCCCAGTTTCTTGAATATTTAATGGAAAATGGCGATCTGCGCGCAGTCGTGTGGTATTTTCTGCCTCTTTACTATCCAAACTGTACTTGTCCTTTACGTGTCCACGCCGACCACCGGGACCCACCTCTTCCCCCAGCACTACACGTAAGTACCCGAATGCGCGTCTTTCACACTGGGGAAGGATGGGAGCGGGGGGGGGGGGACATGGATCTAGGACAGGTAGCCCCGCGGAGCTTCACTGTGGCATGTATACAGTATTGCCCCGTACCGGTGAAATCCACACGTTGTCCTTGTCTGTATGTTGACCTTTTTGATCGTGTATTATTTATTTTGGTGCGTAATTCCTTTAGGCAGAAAAAAAAAATAGCATCCATAGTGGCTTATATTGAGATGACCTGGAGGCGAGATGAAGCTGTAATTACGAAGGTGTCGCTTTGATGCCTTCGTTTAAAGAATACACTTTTCCATTCTGACGTAGAGAGTGTAGATTTATAGCTCTGTGACTGTCTATGGAGCGCGCCGTGTCAACATAAATCAATTATATTAGGCGTTTATCCTAAGGTACCGCGTGTCTTTCTTTATAATGGAAATACATGTTTTTTTGAGACATAGCTCAAGGAGTCTTTCACATTTATATTGATACAAGCTTTAAACGTGATGGGCTGCAAAAGTTCTCTGTGAATCAAACATACTGTACAGTGGTGTGGAATGCGCATGGCAGCAAAGTCTTGTGCATATAGTTTTTGGCACACACCTGTTGGGTTTAGCTCAACATGCGTTCCCTTAACATCCCTGCCTGAATTAATAGACTTTATATCAGTATTCTATAGTATTCTATAGAGATTGATGCAACAGGGAGTCCGTTTTCAAGAGAAGCGCTGAAATAGCCCCCAGTAGAGTTGCTTGGTGGTTGTAGCTGAATGAAATGGATCCAAAGAGTCTGTTTCACCGTGAGGCTTGGTCCAGATGCTGAAGGTGACTTTCAAAAAAAACAACTGCCTGTTCTTCAGCCTCATTAACCTCGCACTGTGCCATTGATTTTATTATTAACCCAATAAGAAACCGTTTTCAGATGTAGTGGTGCATTGAAATAGCTTGACAGTGTAATCAATTTTATATGAGCTTTGAAAATTATGGCAAAATGTCAAGAAGTGTTAATAAATGTCTCTCAAGCAATTTGTATCTAAATCGTGTGTAACTCAATGTTTGATCAGTTTTATCCTGATCTTATTACCTATACTTTCTCTGAACGGCCACATGTCACTTTTCTCTCTTAACTTAATTGATATAACATGATTTTATGTAGGATAATAATACATTTAGATTTCAGTTTGGGCATGCAATTCAAGTGTGTAATCGTTTTTGTAACTATTTAGTAGCCTCAGTGTTATTTTCATTATATTATTCAATTTACTACAGTGGTTTTGGCTGTCTCGCCAGGCCTTACTGCTATTGATTTTATTGCATAGCATCATAAATCATTTCAACCAATGTTTTTGTATTCAGCTTTGAGATGGGGCCCTTACTTGTATAACTTCTCTATTATAAAGTTTTGTTAATATAATTTCCATGTGACCTTTGCGCACGCCGTCTTCTCCTTTGGTAAGATTTGAGGCACGATTCTGTCTTGCCCTTCCCTTCCCCTTCCCCTCATCCTCATAACCGAACGTTGTATATTTCGCCTCTGCTTCTCGTCCACGTGATTATAGTCTTCACTGTCACTCCTTCGGCAGATTTGTACAATTTAATAACTCTTTCTTGTCTTGGGAGCACATCTGACATTTAAAGATGGCATTTGTCTTTGTCATGGTATTAAAAGACGGATCGGGCTGCTGGCGTGCTGTTGAGGCCTGTGATTAGATATCTGTCAGTTAGAAAGGTTGGCGCAGATTCACTTATTATTGCTTCACAACAAACACATTATGATCGGAGATATAACATTTTGTCACATTTCCCAGACGACACTGTCAAATCCTGTTTTGTGGTTCATCTAAAGACAGCAAGTTTGTCCCGGTCAGTTTAATATCAGCTTTTATGACAAATAAGACAATAACAAAGTAATCCTCAAGAATGATCGATTACATTGTGGGCCTGGGGTGAATTTTATTATACAAATCCAAAACTATCAAGATAAGGGTAGGTATTTTTGGTTTACCATTGTACCTAAGTCATTTTTTTAATGCTGATAATTTTTTATCAGAAGGAAGGCCCCATTCTCTCTGGCCCCATTCTGTATACACCAACTTTTACTATAGCTTTATTCTGGCTTCATATAGTACAATCTTAGTGTGTGCAATCAATAATATTTTAATCAAATGTTTGTTCAGTCCTGTCTAATGATCAATGTTGAGCTTTCGACTTGTTCATTGAGATTTCTACAACAATGTCAATAAAACATGTTTAGCAATGATTAAGAGTCTGCATAGTTTAGGTTCAGTGAATTCATTGTGAAAGCAAACATTCTAATGACAAAATGCAATGAAAAGAAAAAAAAACGGATGCCCATGACTGAAGCTGACCAATATAGGAGGAGTGGAAAGTGTTTTAGCAAAGAATCATTGTACTGAGAGGAGCTGAATCACACAAGGATGTCATGAAAACTTTCTGATTACATTGATATAATTTATATTCTCATTCTATTCCTACCTTAAAGAAGAAATATTATGTATTACTGTTGGCCCTTGATATTGTAATGAAACTGTTTACTTTGTACTTCATATAGATGGTGAAATAATTCAATTAAATTAAATGTATTCTTGTATAGCCCTGAATAACAACAGTAGTGATCTTGGAGGACTTTACAAAACCGTTGAATTTGCCAACACAGATCAGAGAATCCGCGATTAAAAAGTTCAAACACAAGAACTTCAATGAAAGAGCGAGTCTATTGGCCTTCCTTGTCCTATGTCAGAGGAACGAGTAGAATTAGATGTTTTGTTTTCTTCCAAATTTGAAAATTACCAGCTGAAAGCACAGTAATGTGATCGTAAATTATATCATTTCACTTGAGAAATGTTCATTGCTAATTTATGAGCAATTTTGTTTTTAACTCATTGTGTCCCATTGACGCACAAATACGTCAAAGCAAATAGTAACGTCGTGTGCCATTGACGCATTAATCCGTCAAATGCCTTTTTCGCTATTTTCACGTTCCCAGATGTCTATTGTATCTATGTATGGGGATGACTTGAGACCATATTTTATCGAGCCAGCAGGTGGCAGCATTGCTCTCTGAATGGTTTGAAAACATGTAGGTGCACATTTTGTGCCTCTTTTTTCTCAACTTTCTGGTGATTTCTGGTGATTTCAGTAAAACTTCCCTCTACTCAACGGAGGATTACAGGGGAACGAAAAAAGCTATAAACAAAATTCTTTTTGCTGAGGAAAGTAGACAGTCCATTCTTTTACAATCTGGTGTCGGATTTCAGATAGTCATAGTACACAATATTCTGTGGGTCTTGAAATATTAGTAAAAATCATCATAAATGGCTGGCACTGTGGGAGTACCTGTTCTGAAATAGGCTGGCATTCAATGAGTTAAAAGGCTGAAAACTGAGCGTGATGCCTGGGGGTGCAATGACATCATCACATTTTTGGCCTTCTGTGACACTTTTGTACCTTTATGAATAAGCCCATTTACAAGAAACAGCTTGAACCAAGTTAAAAGCACAAAGAAGTTGCGTTATATGTTTAGACATAATAAGACACTGTCCTTCTCCTTGATACAAAATATTCTCTGAGAAAGTTCTTGTAAATAAGTTAGCGATCCATTCCATTTCATTCTTTGTTGCTGTCTGGGAGATATAGTGATGCGTCGCTGCGGTTTGATTTCTTAATACCAAAGTTGGCTTATTCTTACAGACATTGGCTCTCGCTTAGGGTGCATTTCTGTCAGGCCTCGATGGTTTTACGGCCCAGGCGGAGATCCCAGCCAACGCAAAGGATACACTTGTTCATGCCACTCCGGCCCAGTCATCACAGATACGACCCTTCATATCGTTAAGTGGATGTGAAGTTGGAGGAGGCTGTGATGACGAACAAAGCTGCTTCATCAGATTCCTCAAGGACAAACTGACCTATAAGCCTGGAAGTGATACTAAAATAACTACATCATCTTGTAGCGTTTGTCCGACTTGCCAGAAGACAAGGAACTTTTTCAAGAGTATGTGATAAAATAATGATAGTACTAATTCATTTCAATTCAATGTATTTGTGTAATGCTGTAAATCACAACAGTAGTAATCTCGGTGGACTTTACAAAACCGTTGATTCGCCAACACAGATCAGAGAACCAAACAGTTCAAACACAAGAAATGCGATAAAAATGAGGCAGATGACCGATGTCCATAAATGTTGATAAAGTCCAAATCTGTCGTTGAATTTCGAGTGTCATGGATATCACCATTGTAGATCCAGGACTCAGAACAAGGACAGAGGCCCTTGCAAAAGAGTGACGTAAGCAAGGCTGCCTCCCATTACCACCCTCTGACCACTATCTCCTAGAAACCTGACCAGACCCTCAACTTTCTTCTCTTAAGCCCCTGACAATATAGACCTGACCAAAACCTAGTTCTGTTAAAACCACAACCAAGGAAGCAGAGAGCGATAGACACACTCTCAAAGGAGCAGAATACAGATAGTGAAGAATAAGTGGAGAAATACATACGGTACATTTCTCCTGTCTGAGATCAATAAAGTCTATTCCAGTTTTTGAAAATAAAGGCTAATATATTTTGAGTTTTCCAGGAAGTAGTTCTACCTCTAAAGTATCTCTGCTAGTTCTAGAAACTAAACTCCTCCAGAAGTTTGCCACGTTTTAGCAACATCCACATTTTTGACACTTTAATGATTCTTAACTAAATAAACATATTCTTAGTGTATACTTTCTGATTACATTGAAGGAGTTTTGGCCCATTGCTCCGTATCATTCCTGGCGTTGTGTAATGAATCACAACATGGAGGTAACATTTGAAATCCTTAAAATTCCGTTATAGAATTTGTGAAATATTTTGTAGAATCTCAAATGTAAAAATGTTAACTGTGTTTGTGAAAAGTCAAATGCACTTTATTACATGATGTTTTTCTGTGCACATCCAGTATAGTGTTTTAAATGTATTGTCAAGTTTATGCTGGTACTCCCACGTACTTGATATTAGATGTATAACTTACAAGTCTTGTTTTGTCTTTAGAATGATCCACTGGGCCGGGCGCATTGAGAAGGAGCTGGAGAAAGTCCTGCAGCACGTCACCGGCACACAGCAGATGAGATCGGTGAGTTCATCATGTGACTCGCCACATTTACCTGCATTATTTATCACCACATTTCACCAGGGAACGTTACACAACATAAGGCCGCATGATGGTGCACTTTAGAGCATGAATAATGGCAAAACTGGCATAAGACGTTAGCCTCAGACGCACACTGCTGGAAGATATGCATTGTGTCAGGGCTAATGTAATTCTCAGAGAACAACACAAGGGCCTTTCTAGCTTTTCATTTTACCTGCGTTTAAAAACACATCCATACTAGACTTATTGTTATGTTTTTGTTGCAAATGTAGCCCAAGGTTTAGCCTCATGTCACTGAAATTATTATTCAAGCAATGTTGTATCTATGGCGGCAGACGTAGACTAATCCTAAGCCTAACAAATGTTCTACATAACATTGTCCCAGCATGACAATACTTCCCAATACTGTATCCCGATAATCACTACTGAAATAAATGTTGTGAAAATTGTTTTGGATGCACCAATACAATTCTAGCGTCGGAAATCGGTGCTAAAACCATATATATATACGGCATTTTGTTGGATTGGATATTGATTTGATGATCAGGGTTGGGGTGACAGTGGTAGAGCATTGGCTTTTGAGCCTGAAGGTTGCTTCTCCACCGACTCCCACTGATGTCTACTGCCGTCGTGTCCTTGGGCAAGACACTTAACCCAACTTTGTCTGAAGCCTCCACCAAAAGATCAAGGCTATGCTCTCACCGACAGAGCAGCCATCCTCCTGAACACTCACCACCTGCAGGCGGATCAGTGAGAGACTGTTGCTCTGTGAATTGGGTCCAGAAATGGATTAAAGAGAAGAAGGTGGATGGATGATATCGGTAAAGTAGATATCTTGAGTAGGCTTTATTTTGAAGTCTGTTTATTTACTTACTTTTACACAGACAGCAGTAGAACATTTTTATTTATAAGACCAATTGCTGCATTAAATCAGAATTTGACCGATTTGTAACAAGTTTGAATTTGAGGTGGAAAAAATGCACCTGGTCACTCGGTGTCGTCATTATTCTGGCGTCTTGCTGGTCTCTCTTTGGTAGAATTGCTGACTACGAATACTTTGATTTTCATAACAAACCTTAATTTTGATGTCTCGAAAATGCCAAAACCGGTTGCATTTCTCATCCCATATCTAAGCCCTGTCATATGGCCGACCAGCTGTTACAGTTGAGAAATGATTAACACGGTTTTATATTATTTTGTCTGCACCTCATGCTTCATCACACGTTCAGGGATTTCTGAATTATCTGCTGAATTTTCATGGTAGGACTGGGGAATACACTAAAGCCCCGATGATCAGAACTTGAACAAGGCAAAATTTTAATGTTCTTGTTCCAGGCACTATGTAACTTTTTTAGTGGCAGCTACATTTAAGTTCATAGAGATGACTTGATTAAACATGCTTAGTAAACAGCGTTTCATTTCATTCTGCAGTTTTTAATAGAAATATCAGAATGGTAAAACCTCTTCTCAGCATGTATCATTTATAATAAGTAAATCAGTTATTAGTAATGACTAAATTATTTGACAACTGTTTCAATAATCAATTAGATGGGACTAATCGAATAACTAACAGCCCTGAGATGTATTTTAATACAATTTTAAAATTACAGAGATATTTTGCAGAGAACATTGAGCTGTATTGATTGTATTGGCGCATTGTGATGTTGTAATGCTATATCCTGCTGTAACATGGAGAGCGTGAGAGCCGATTATGCACTGGTGACACTGATGGAGTTAAGAGAGAAGGAAGTGAGTTGACAGGAAGTGAGCAGGTGTGAATTTAATGATTGAGATATTAGGTGAAAAAGGTGACTAATGGAAATTGTGGTCTAGCAGATTACTCATACAATGCTATTCTCATGCAATACAGTGGAAATACAATGTCTGCCATAAAGTGATACACGTAATATTAAATCTGCAGCTAAACATTATTTTAGCAATCTATTCACTTGTTCACATTCAATGCGTATTGTGTGAACATTTGAGACAAAAGTAGAGAAAACAAAAGAATGTGTTTGTTTGTGAAGTATATTTTAATGGTAATTGCAGTATGAGTCATGTTCAGTGCGGCGCCACAAAGAGCTCAATGTAAAACTTGTTCTGTGCGCTCAGTGCACTACAGTTTCACATGGTATACAGTCATTATGGAAATTCAGAGGCAATGAACTGGTAAAATAGTATATTGATTGATATTGATTATTTGAATATTTTTAATAGAAAACTTGTTATTTGATTTATTGTTTCAGCCTAAATAAAAAATAATTAATTTGTTTCCACACTAGGCAATTTTGTTGAATATATGCCCTTTGATCGAACTCAAATGAATCACCCTGAGACTTGGATCACCACAGACCTGTATTTTCAGGTGATTCTATTCCTTCAATGTATTCTTTTACAGCCCTAGATCACAACAGTAGTTATCTCAGAGGCCTTAACAAAACTGTTGAAATTGCCATCACAGATCAAAAAATCAAACACAAAAATAGAGAACACATACTGTAGGTATTGGTCCATAGGGGGCAGTTGACCAATGTCCATAAGTGTTGCAGAATGTTGTAGGGTAACTACTTATATTGCTGATTATGTTATAAATTTAGTAGTGTGGAGCGGCTAGTCTCCGGATCAGAAACTCGCCGTTCCACCAATGGGTCTGTCTTATTTATTTTGGGCACCAGTAGACGTTTGAGGGTCTACGACAGACCCAAACCAACTTTGCCTCGAGTCAGTCTTATAATAAAAAGGTAGTTAATTCGTAAATCGGCCAGGGATATACCGAAATCTAACAACACGACTCTGATAGGATTGAGTTAAAGAAAAGGGGTTTATTGATTACAAAAATGAAGGTAAAAATATAACGAAGGGGATTTCTGGTCACATTAAAGCAGAAGTGGTATACATTTCATTCAAATCACACATTTAACAAGAACAGTCTTACTTTGTAGGAGCGTAGAGGATGGAGAAAGGATTTGGGTTGGGGAATCAGCCCACGTGGTTTCTTTGTCTGGGCAGGCGGGAGGTACGAAGCCAGCGAGTTGGTCCAGCTGCTGATCCACGCGTATGCAGCCCAGTCCGGAATGGGTTGCGCGCGTAGAGTCCAGAGCCAAGAAAAAGAGGCTGGTGATGGAACAGTTCATAAGGTCCCGAGCCGAGGAGAGTGTGTTTTGCGGAGTAGGAGGCCCGATGCGTGCTGGCGCGGCCGTATTGGAGACACGTACCGCGGGACGCAGATGGCCAGGGAGAGCTGGAATAGTGATTTCAGGATAGGACAAGAGGCAGTCTCTAGGTTTGCGGGCTGGTTTTGTTGTGGTCAAAGTGGGCGCGCCCGTGACGTCATATTTGCGCATCTTCCTTGGGCCGCCTCCCCACAACAAATGGGTTATAGTGGGAACACACAGGATTAATACAGATGATCATAACACATGTACAAACACACACCACATTTCATTATTTGCCACTGATACACACATGTAGGACGCGGTACAGACTTATCGGAATAGCACTGAGTCCAGGCTGGTCTACAGAATGTCCGGGCCGGGTGTGATGGTGTTCAGTGTCCGCTGGGGGGCGCCAGAGTGCCGTGGGAGAGTCTCAGGTTGTGGAATGTCCCACGAGCGACTGCTGATGGATGATTCCTGATCTCTGTCCGGCAGGAGGGCACACAGATGTCCGCTCTGTTGTTTTTATTGCCCCTCTGGGTCTCGTTGCGGCGTTCCTGGTGAATGTTAGCCTTTAAGTGAACCCGCAGTTACTTTGAAGTCTCAGGAGCTAGGGAGGGCATGTTTACGGAAAGGGTCTGCTATTCACGCCCGATTGGCGCTCACCTTTTCCTCACCCTACAATGTTATAAACATTAATGTGAAATTATCAGTAAAATGCAACTAATTGAGCAACTAATAGAGCATTACATTTTCACCCAAATTGATATTTTAGTTTTTGTCAATATTGCCCGGCCTGGCCAAGGGCACAACAATAAGAATCTGTTTTGATATCTCAAAATTTGAATAGATCAGCTTCAATCCATTAATCCAAACTTCATTATTTCCAATTGAATCAAGCTGTCAAAACAACTGCAAGATATTTCAATTCAAATAGTTCAGAATCTTAAGTAAAGGCCCATGATGTTGGCTCTAAACATCCTCAGTTCCTAGAGCTTCTTTCTGTTCCTTATGTTGTGTCTGTCCCGTGTGTAGACAGCCACAGGGACATCCATCAACCCCAAACGGCAGTCATGTGTCCGGGTGCTAAATGGCCCAGCGTGTCTACAAAAGCTATTTTCTAAGTGGATGCCTTCCTTTTCTTGTGTGTGGTAGAAATTGTCCCAAGGATATACCGGTTACAAAGCATCTCCTCCTGTGTCCTGTCCCTTTTCATGCATAGTTTATTATCCTCCACTGAAAATCCATAACCGGTCAATTTATTGTGTTATTTTTCTTGCAATACTGAATAAACGTCATTTGTTCTCAATTTTGATCAAGTTTTACCGTCCTAGTCTGCATGTGTCCCAGTGTTGCGCTACAAACTCAAAGTGTAATTGACTTTTTGAGAGAGTCACTTTTGCCGTTTATAACCGTCAGACAAATACACAGTTTGCTTGTTTGTGGTAAATAACTTCCCCCGACTTGACTCCGCTCTGAGCCTAGATTTTGTTTTTCTTCACTGCGACACGTTTTCCACCTTCTCCCAAAAATCTATAGCAATATCATGTCCACACCGTTTTGAGTCCGTCGAAGTAACCTTTATTTATAGAACACTTCACGATACTGAAAGTGACATTAGTGCTTTTTCAATACAAAACAACAGAAATAAATACAAAAAAAAGGAAAAAAATTGAATCAGAATACATGTCAAAGCCAGTGTTGTTAAAACATCCATCCATCCATCCATTTTCTTCCCCGCACTCCATTTTTGGGTCGGAGGCTGGCAGTTAGAGCTAAACCCAATTCACAGAGCCTTAATTCAGCCTAAATTCATTTCAAAAGGTT